ATTGTTTAGAACCGAAAATTTAAACTGATTTTGCTCAGAGATTGATCCAAAAAATTTTGTTCGGTAAATGCTTAGGCAAGCGGCGCCGCCTCGCCGGTAATGACCGCACGCCACTGCGAAGAAGAGAGCTCTGAAGAAAGCGAAGATGATCAATTTTTTGATAACAGGTAGCTCACTATTTCTCTCAACTTCTCTCAGTTCTCTGGCTCCAGAACCATTTCCTCCACACTTCGAGCCAACATTTTGACGTGCATCAATGTGAAACAAGCGTCCAAATGCAGTTTGTAAACTCTGTAATTCATAAACATATTTTACTTATCATAATAAAAGATATACTTTATTGTGCTATCTTGTGAATGCACAAATTAAGCAATATATCTCCTCAATGGCGGATAAGGTTGTTTTAACGATTTCCAAAAGAAACTTTTACAAATATGGAAAATCTAATTCATATACATTCGAGGCATTGCAAAAACTGTTACAATGATCAGGTTTCCATAACTAGTGGACCTGACCATGTTAATAGTTAATGTCCTGTTGTTCCACGGGTTAAGACAAAAGCATGGCTTGAAATAGCTGCGGTTATGAATCAGCAAAATAATTTAATGTCAGCAGAGATCATGACTGTGGTTTTATTTCTATGGAGAAAAGTTGTTCATTTTTCCAGGTAAGTTGACCATAATATTTTATAAAAAGTAGAAGAGTAAAGCTTAACATGAATATTATTACACTGCTTTTGATCTTAGTTATTTTCCTTTCTGTACAAGTTGAATATCACAACATCATCATAATTGTTAATACAGGCCTGAGAACTACATAATTATCTTTACTGTTAACTCTTTGTTAGGTTACTGTGATATCGTTCACATCAATAAAGCAAAATGAAAATGGATTCATATCTAAATGTGAATGACATCTGTTTTAGCAAAGTTGACTGGCGTGTCAAAGGCAATCTTTTGAGAGGAAAAGACTTTCCCATTTCCCAAGATGGCAATTGCCCAAGATGTCAAAGCAACATACTTCTTTTTGTTATCTTAGATGAGTATGTTCTCACTGTTATGAGTAACTTTTACTACAAATTCTTTCTTAAAGTTATTACTACAGAAAACCAAGCATGATTTTATTGTTTTCATGTTGAAATAAAAGAATTGATAATTTTAGGTTGTTTCCTATGGGTGACATGCTATACATGATATTTTTTATCATTTATTGAGAAAAGGAAAGGCAGTTTTATGGTCAAGTCAAGACAATAACTTGTGGAAAGTGAGCAACAATTTTTTTTGTCGTGATTAGTAAACTGCGTTACTTGTGATTTTATAGCAATTTTAATCAATATGTGTCATGTATATGGTAATTTTAATCAAAGTTTAATGTTCTAATGTCATCATTACAGAAGGCACCCACTTTTATGTGTCGAGGCTCTTGTCCATTAGATCCATTGGCTGCTGGATTTAATATTAATTGGGACATTGTTAATTTGACTAAACTTCTTAAAGGCTTACTAAAATTGGTAAGTGATTATTATAATTTAATTTGTGAGTTGTGACAATGGGGAAAATTAAGCCTATCCCATATATTGTACATTTGAAAAAGTCACACATCTTACAATGTTATTACAATTTTTGAAAAGAATTTTGCAAAAGCACGGAAAAAACTTCAAGAACATGGCACTAAAGGTATTTCGTAAACTGCCAAAATTAAATGTAGCACCTTAAAACTACCATAAAAAGCATGTTTTTTCATATACAAGTGAACTGTAGTGTTTAAATATCACCTTTCTTTTTCACATGCAGATGAAAATGGTAAGAAGCTGGTTTTGAGTTTGCAACTTGGGATGATAGGGAAAGTAATGTTTATGCAAAATAAGAGTAATTTGTTGCATGGAAACTGGCATAGGTATGGAATAGGGTTGAAACATTTCCAAGGAAGGTAATAAAGCTATTTTTATTCTTAATAATAATACTATCTTCCAAAATATTATCAATTGCACATGGCTTTCCTAATAATGGCATGGAAAGTACATCTAACTGAGTGTGAGCAAATTTTTATAATAGGAGTTACAAAGTCAGGATCTCTTAAAGACATGGAAGAAAAGCCAAAAAATGAAACCAAGTTTGCAGGGGGGAAAGAAACAAAGCAAACCATTAAGGAACAGCTTTCGAAAACTGATACAAAATCTTTGGTCAGCATCGTGACAACGTCCTCAAGTACCATCAAAATCACTTCAGCAACATCGTCTACTTTAGCTGCAACCAGTTATCCAATTTCAAAAGATGGTTCCTGCCCACATTGCGGGTCAATTGCTGTGCGATATATCATCTTGGTGAAGGACTCTGCTAAAGATGAAAAACTACCACCAACGTTGGAAAAACTGCTGCAGCTACAAAAAGCTTTCAAAATGGCTAAAGGTGAAAGAGATGGTGATTAATGACGAAGCACGCATGCGCCATGCGTAGTGTCTCCTGTGAAATTGAAGCTCGTAAACAAATAAAGCGGCTAAATGGGGTAAAATAAGTGCGAAGAAAAACAACAATTAGTTTCATGCAAGTGTTAAGAAGTATTAACGCAGGAGCGACAGAAAAAAAAGGGTTGCTATAATGTTTATGTTCACCATCTTCAAATTTCAAAATTCCCGCAAAATGTCAATCCTTGTGTTGATTTCCCATGCAAACACGGATTGACATCACGTTTCGATCGGTATTGTCTTCTGGCAAATTAAAGCTCGTAAGTAAATAAAGAGGCTAAATGGGTTAAAATTAGTGCAAAGAAAAACAACAATTAGTTTCATGTAAACACGGATTGACATCACGTTTCGACGGGTGTTTCATCAGCAATGCCAGCACATATGGGGGGCGTTTGCCTTTCGGTTAACAAAGATACAAGATGGAACGTTTAAATAATGAAACAAATCACCGTTACGAGCGATTATGCATATCTTTTTTATCGTGTGTCTACGCTGAGATATGATATTAAATAAATGTGATAGGAAATGGTTTTATGAAGGCATGTCTGTCAGCTATAGGTTCTCGATAAGCCTATGGGGATATTCACATGAGTCCGGAATGACTTTCTATCCGGAATGAACTCATTCCATTTCAAAAGAAATTCTATTGTATGTTTACATGAATCCGGAATGAGTCACAACTCGATCGGGATCGAGTTCATTCCTATTTTCATTCCGGATCGAAATTTAGTTTGAGGGGGTGTTTAAATGAATCCGGAATGAGTTTCGATCTCGAATGAACTCATTCCACTTTAAAAGAAATCCTATTGCATGTTTACATGAATCCGGAATGAGTCACAACTCGATCCGGATCGAGTTCATTCCTAGTTTCATTCCGGATCGAAATTTACTTTTTATCTTATGTAAACGCGAATTGAGTTTCATTCTGGAATGATATTGTGATTAATGACGAAGCACGCATGTGCCATGGGTATTGTCTTCTGGAAAATTGAAGCTCGTAAGTAAATAAAGAGGCTAAATGGGTTAAAATTAGTGCAAAGAAAAACAACAATTAGTTTCATGTAAACACGGATTGACATCACGTTTCGATCGGGATTGAAAGTCATTCCGGATTCATGTAAACACCCCTTTAATCTCATGTAAACACGAATTGAGTTTCATTCTGGAATGAGATGGTGATTAATGACGAAGCACGCATGCGCCATGCGTAGTGTCTCCTGTGAAATTGAAGCTCGTAAACAAATAAAGCGGCTAAATGGGGTAAAATAAGTGCGAAGAAAAACAACAATTAGTTTCATGCAAGTGTTAAGAAGTATTAACGCAGGAGCGACAGAAAAAAAAGGGTTGCTATAATGTTTATGTTCACCATCTTCAAATTTCAAAATTCCCGCAAAATGTCAATCCTTGTGTTAATTTCCCATGCAAACACGGATTGACATCACGTTTCGATCGGGATTGAAAGTCATTCCGGATTCATGTAAGCACCCCCTATGTTCCGACACGGCGCGAGTCTGCTAGTCTTTTCCTCATTCCAGTAATTGGCGTTTGTTTGATCCATAGAGTCTTTGCTTTCCTTCACAGTGTGGAGATTTTAGGTATGTAGCCTCGTTACTTTTTTTATATACCTCTTGAAAAAATTTCAGGAGAGGAGCGTTTGATATTTTATCATGCCATAGGATTGATTTCATACTGTTGATAGCTATTTAATGCCTTGTTACCAAGCATGTACTCATCAATTCTCATCATGAGATGGTAGTAGTGTGCTTGCGTTGCACCCCGTAGCAAATGCAAATTTTTAAATCTTGGAATAAAGATAATTACAATCAAAAACAAGGAGGATTTTAGTTGTCAAAGTCAGCGGAAAGACGCGGGCTCATAAAATAAAATTTTTTTCGCCCACCCGGATTTGACAACCACATTTGCGATTATATAAAATATCAATGCCAAGCACAAAGCAATTACAATATAGTAGAGAAATATAAGACGATTTAAATTTTCAATCGCTCAATTTAACTTTTGCGATAATGTAGGTCTTGTTATGATTTAATTTATATACGTATATATATCACAGGTCTTTTCTATGTTGGTATGATACCCCCTTCATCAACTATCCTCAACCTCATAATGCATGATACCCCATTCATCAACTATCCTCAACCTCATAATGCATGATACCTCCTTCATCAACTATCCTCAACCTCATAATGCATGATATCCCATTCATCAACTATCCTCAACCCCATAATGCATGATACCCCTTTCATCAACTACCCTCAACCTCATAATGCATGATACCCTTCATCAACTATCTCAACCTCATAATGCGATGCCCCCTTCATCAACTATGCTCAATCTCATCCTATGATATCCCCATTCATCAACTATCCTCAACCTCATAATTCATGATACCCCCTTCATCAACTATCCTCAACCTCATAATGCATGATACCCCCTTCATCAACTATCCTCAACCTCATAATGCGTGATGCCCCCTTCATCAACTATGCTCAATCTCATATCCTATGATATCCCCATTCATCAACTATCCTCAACCTCATAATGCATGATACCCCTCATCAACTATCCTCAACCTCATAATGCATGATATCCCATAAATCAACTATCCTCAACCTCATATTGCATGATATCCCCATTCATCAATTATCCTCAACCTCATAATATATGATGCCCCATTCATCAACTATCCTCATCCTCATAAAGCATGATACCCCCTTCATCAACTACCCTCAACCTCATATTGCATGATATCCCCCTTCATCAACTATCCTCAACCTCATAATGCATGAAACCCCCTTCATTAACTATTCTCAACCTCATAATACATGAAACCCCTTTCATCAACTATCCTCAACCTCATTATGCATGATATCCCAATTCATCAACTATCCTCAATCTCATAATTCATGATACCCCCTTTATCAACTATCCTCAACCTCATAGTGCATGATAACCTCTTCATCAACTATCCTCAACCTCATAATACATGATACACCCTTCATCAACTATACTCAACCTCATAATGCATGACACCTCCTTCATCAACTATCATCAACCTCATAATGCATGATATCCCCATTCATCAACTATCCTCAACCTCATAATTCATGATAACCCCTTCATAAACTATTCTCAACCTCATATTGCATGATATCCTCTTTATCAACTATCCTCAACCTCATAATGCCTCATACCCTCTTCATCAACTATCATTAACCTCATTATGCATGATACCCCCTTCATCAACTATCCTCAACCTCATAATGCATGATACCCTTCATCAACTATCCTCAAACTCATAATGCATGATACCCCCTTCATCAACTATCGTCAACCTCATAATGCATAACACCCACTTCATCAACTATCCTCAACCTCATAATGCATGATATCCCCTATTCATCAACTATCCTCAACCTCATAATCATGATAACCCTTCATCAACTATCTCAACTCATATTGCATGATATCCTTCATCAACTATCCTCAACCTCATAATGCCTCATACCCTCTTCATCAACTATCATTAACCTCATTATGCATGATACCCCTTCATCAACTATCCTCAACCTCATAATGCATGATACCCTCTTCATCAACTATCCTCAAACTCATAATGCATGATACCCCCTTCATCAACTATCGTCAACCTCATAATGCATAACACCCCTCTTCATCAACTATCCTCAACCTCATAATGCATACCAAATATATTCAACCTCATATTGCATGAAACCCTTCATCAACTATCCTCAACCTCATAATGCATGATACCCCTTCATCACTATTTCAACCTCATAATGCATGATGCCCCCTTCATCAACTATCCTCAACCTCATTATGCCTGATATCCCAATTCATCAACTATCCTCAACCTCATAATGCATGATAACCCCTTCATCAACTATCCTCAACCTCATAATACATGATACCTTCATCAACTATCATCAACCTCATAATGCATGATACCTCCTTCATCAACTATCATCAACCTCATAATGCATGATATCCTCATTCATCAACTATCCTCAACCTCATAACGCATGAAACCCCCTTCATCAACTATCATCAACCTCATTATGCATGATACCCCCTTCATCAACTATCTTCAACCTCATAATGCATGATACCCCTTCATCAACTATCCTCAAACTCATAACGCATGATGCCCCCTTCATCAACTATTTTCAACCTCATAACGCATCATACCTCCTTTATCAACTATCCTCAAACTCATAATGCATGATACCCCTTCATCAACTATCCTCAACCTCATAATGCATGATACCCACTTCATCAACTATCCTCAACCTCATAATGCATGATACCCCCTTCATCAAATATATTCAACCTCATATTGCATGAAACCCCCTTCATCAACTATCCTCAACCTCATAATGCATGATACCCCCTTCATCAATTATCCTTAACCTCATAATGCATGATGCCCCCTTCATCAACTATCCTCAACCTCATTATGCATGATATCCCAATTCATCAACTATCCTCAACCTCATAATGTATGATGCCCCCTTCATCAACTATCCTCAACCTCATTATGCATGATATCCCAATTCATCAACTATCCTCAACCTCATAATGCATGATAACCCCTTCGTCAACTATCCTCAACCTCATAATACATGATACACCCTTCATCAACTATACTGAACCTCATAATGCATGATACCTCCTTCATCAACTATCATCAACCTCATAATGCATGATATCCCCATTCATCAACTATCCTCAACCTCATAATGCATGAAACCCCCTTCATCAACTATCCTCAACCTTATTATGCATGATATCCCAATTCATCAACTATCGTCAATCTCATAATGCATGATACCCCCTTCATCAACTATCCTCAAACTCATAATGCATGATACCCCCTTCATCAACTATCCTCAACCTCATAATGCATGATACAGTGGCGTGCGGTCATGCAAGCGTAGGCAAGCGCCGCTTGCCTAAGCATTTTACCGAACAAAAATTTTTTGGATCAATCTCTGAGCAAAATCAGTTTAAATTTTTCTGTTCTAAACAATGTCAATGTAATCTTTTGTCTAAATTGTCTTTACAGTTGAAATGCTTGCTATTTATACGCGATTTACTGTCGTGGTTTTCGGTTTCACTTTGCTACACTTGTAAGATGAGTCAAGTGTATTAAATTAAGTGGATTAAATTAATTATTTATTAACCAAGGCAAGCGCGCTTGCCTTCGGAGCTCAATTTGAACATTTGCGCATGCGTTAATCTAGATTTGGAGGCTTCGTATTCGAGGAATAGCTTCTAAGGGCGCCGCTTGATAGCGATTGGTCAACAGTCTTGTACGCTCGCAATTTTAAACACATATCAGCGCACGAATAATATTCGTATATTCAACACATTGGACATCGGAATTATTCACGCCGTTAATGTTATCGTTTATTAAAAGATGACTGAGAGCGAAAGGTAATGTTCTGATTTCTAATTCAAAGTAGTAGTAGATTTCTAATTTATGTATGTAGAAGATATTATCTGTAGCATGTTATACTTTAGCGTTATATAAGTCTTGCGTATGAGCTCTGAACGTGATTTCAATGTACTAGAACGCTATTAAATTTTGTGATTATTTTATTCACAAGCAAAGAAGTTATTTACAACAGTCGTGAATATTCTATATGTTAGAATTTATTTACAGGCTTTTTATATATTTTGATAAACAAGGTGCAGTTATTACACAGCGGATAATGTACTTGAAATTTGAGTAGTTTTACGTAATTATAAAGTTAAGTGCGTAAGTTTAAGTAGCGCGTTTGAGTAAGTGTAGGATTGGCTATTTCCTCTATTGCTAATACATGAATCTAGATGAGTAATGTACGCACGTTATGTACGTCACTACAAGATATCATGTAGCTGATGTAAGGTATAAATAAGATTGATGTTCCTATAAAATATATAGCATAGGAATTTTCATCCTTTTATGTTCTACTTCTACAATTCGGTATTTTCACGACACCTGTACAACATGACTGAATGCATTGTGGAATCACTGTTATCCCGCTCATTTGGATTGAGACCTTTTTCCGAGAAATGAGAGATCGTCGAAGGTGGCCGTCCCACTCCTGAGTTGCAAGGACTACATACAGCATCCAAGCGAAGTGGTAAAGTCTTTATTCGAAGTTTTCAGACGTCAAATTACGACAAGTACAAATGGCTGGCTGGCTCCTTAAAATTGAATAAGTTATTTTGCTGGCCGTGTCTTTTGTTCAACTCAACAGACAAGACAGTCTGGTGCAAGAAGGGATACGATGATTTGGCCAACCTGTGTAATGCCAACAGGGGCAATTACGTCGAATTGATAAAACTGCTAAGTGCATATGACCCCACGCTTGAACAGCATCTTCATACAGCAACCGTGTTTTCTGGACTTTCTAATCGTATCCAGAACGATTTGATTGTTGCTGTCAAGGACGTTATGTTGAAAGCAATAAAAGATGAAGTGATGAGGAGCCCATTTGTCGCTATTTCCCTGGATGAAACCTCCGACGTTAAGACTTATCGCAGCTAACAACTATAGTTCGCTATGTCAACCCAGATGGTAAAGCTGTGGAGCGCTTTCTTGGATTTACCGATGTAAGTGTGGATAGAACTGCGGCTAGACTGAAACAAGAAGTCGGTAAAACCCTGAACGAGTACGGATGCGGCGAAAAACTGATTGCCCAAACGTATGACGGTGCGATTGTGATGTCAGGAGAACTGTCCGGTTTGCAAACACGAGTAAGAGAAGACTATCCACATGCTCTTTTAATCCACTGTTGCGGACACACATTAAATTTGGTCCTTGTTCAAGCTGTCTCGTCAACTAAAGAGTTGACGAACTAAGAGAATCAGTTTGACCAACCAGGTAAAAGAGGATTTACTACACCATTGTAGGTGATTTAGAGAATCAGTTTGACCAATCAGGTGAAAGAGGATTTACTACACCGTTGTAGGTGATTTAGAGAATCAGTTTGACCAATCAAGTGAAAGATGATTTATTACACCATTGTAGGTGATTTAGAGAATCAGTTTGACCAATCAGGTGAAAGAAGATCTTACAAGCCTGCATACAACACATAACGAACTTTAAGGAATTCAACCCAAGGAAATCGTTTATTCTATAAAGTCTCTTGAGGATAGTTATTGAAATTTTTTACGTGTCTAAAGAAAGAGGTAACAAATGTGAACTCGATAAATAGGGAGGTTCATATACTCATGTTTTTTTTGTATTAACTTCCAGTGAAATCAATTGTTCTCTACAGATTAAGAGATGCATATATGACTTTGTGACCACCCCAGCCCTACAACCAACAGAATAATAATTATACAGAAGGGCCACTCAAGTGTGCACTGCGTCCTCATGGCCGCCATTATTCCAGCAAGATATATTTAGGGTTTTTCATTTGTTTCCAAACACTACAATTACATGACGTCATTACTTCGTAATGAAATTAAAAATATTTCAATATAAGAAATGACGTCGGTTCATTTTAGTGTTTGGAAACAAGTGAAAAGCCCAAAACATCTTGCTGGAATAATGCCAGTCGATATGCTTGAGGATAAAAACATCAATGGTTCCGACACAAGTGACTTTTCTGTATATTACATATTCTGTACTTCAGCTAAGAACTTTGTTATGCCACCAAGGGGAACTCTGGTATAACAACATTACGACAAAGCAATTTATCTCAGTATTACCTACAATGACCGCAATTATAACTAACCTGTAATTCAGCCATAGTATCTTCATCTTCTCGCTTGCTGGTGCTTGGGAAAAAGACGACATTGTCGATCATTTGGATAAGTTCCAATTGAACGACACACTTAATGATCAATGAATTGAACAGCATCCTCTCCGTCTGCACAATTAAAATAATGAGATGATTTTACGACGTTAAAGTACATACATGAAAAAATTAAAAAGTGTCACTCGGGTGTTGGTTGAACAATTCCGTATTCACGCACAGACGATTTTTTCATTTGTCGGTAAAAATCGAACTTTTGAATATGTCAAACAAAGGGCTAATTTATCTTATTAGAGGTGTTCTAAAATAAAATAAAATAAGCAACGAATGCCAAAAAATAAAGCAAAAACGAGTTCCTTAAGTTAGTGCCATTTTTTATGAAAAATAAGTGTTAAAAGGAGAAGTAGTAATAATTACAAATTAGTAACATTATTAGTTCTATTAGCAACAATTAACAACATTATTGTTTCAAACATTGCAAAAATGTAAATTTTAGAACATAAGCAGTTTCAGGAAATGTTACATGACGTCGCTGTTTACTTCAGATTGAGTTTTTCAAACGCATATATCAATTATACGTTTTTCTACGCCTTCCAATAAACCAAAATAAATAAATAAATAAATAAAATAAAAGTAAATTAAACAAATTAAATAAATTAAACACGTAAATGGCAGCAGGCTGTGACAACAAATTATTAATCTCGATTTCTAACACATAGTTACCTGGTTCGTGTTCTTCGACAGGTTCAAATCGTAAACTAGGCGTACTATGTAAACTGATGCTGTCTTGTTCTTTTGTTTCTTCAACTGTTTCTTGAGGCATTTTCCTCCTCCGTTTCATTCAAACCTTTTGACGATTGCTGACCATCTTGTTCGTCCTCGTCTAAAAAATAATACGGAAAAATTTTCACTTGTTACTCAAAGAATACAAGCTGTTTGTCCATACGAGTTAAAGATTCACACGAGCTATATTGCAATATGCGAACATTTGCTTCATATGAGCTTTTGGTTCAAATGAGCTTTTTTAATATGCGAGCTTTAGCTTACCATGAAATATTTTCCAATCCTATAATCATGGAGACAATTGAAGCAACATTTTCCTTTAAAAGAATTCACAAACTTTTTATTTACCTTCCAGATATTTGGGCACGATATCATCCTCCAGGTCGACAGGTAACATTATCTACAATATACGTCAATTTTAAAGGTAATAAATACATAAAACAAACAGAATAGTTACGAAAATTTGTCTGAAATTTTACAGTGTCGGGCTTTAAAACTTCATAAATAATACTAAGGGGCGGAAACGATTCAATACTTATTATCAGATAAATTTTCTCAAGCAATTTCACAAAATTCTGATTTAATAACTACGCAAAACATTTAAAATTAAAACAACCAATTTGCCATAATTTGAGAATTACAACCAGAATTACGTGTGGTGCTTCGCAAACATTTGTAATTTTTAACCTTAAAGTTTTGGCTCTTTTCAATCCCTTGAAATCATCGGGGCTAGCTCGCTATCTGGCCCAGCTCGCCTCCATATAATCAGGCCCTAAGTGTAACTTACCTTGAGTGGTGATGACGGAGGAGTGACATCAGGTGTGGGTGGACTCATTAATTATGGTCAGCGGGTCTCCATTTCAATAGTTCGTGAGGTACGGTTGATTCAAATATCGTCTTTACACATTGACATGTCTTTTCCCAGACGTCTTCGGAGAACGTGTTGCCAATGGATATGACGAGCAAAGGTATTGTTGCCAATGAGCAAAGGTATTGTTGCCAATGAGCAAAGGAACGTGATGCCAATGAGCAAAGGTATTGTTCACCAAAATGTCTCTACGTCAATGAGGAAAGGTATTGTTCAACAAAATGTCTCTACACCAATGAGCAAAGGTATTGTTCACCAAAATGTCTCTACGTTGATGAGCAAAGGTATTGTTCACCAAAATGTCTCTACGCCAATGAGCAAAGGTATTTTTCACCAAAATGTCTCTACACCGATGAGCAAAGGTATTGTTCACCAAAATGTCTCTACGCCAATGAGCAAAGGTATTGTTCATCAAAATGTCTCTACGCCGATGACCAAAGGTATTGTTCACCAAAATGTCTCTAAGTTAATGAGCAAAGGTATTGTTCACCAAAATAACTCTACACCAATGAGCAAAGGTATTGTTCACCAAAATGTCTCTACACTGATGAGCAAAGGTATTGTTAATCAAAATGTCTCTACCCCAATGAGCAAAGGTATTGTTCACCAAAATGTCTCTACGTTGATGAGCAAAGGTATTGTTCACCAAAATGTCTCTACGTTGATGAGCAAAGGTATTGTTCACCAAAATGTCTCTACGCTGATGAGCAAAGGTATTGTTCACCAAAATGTCTCTACGTCGATGGGCAAAGGTATTGTTCACCAAAATGTCTCTACACCGATGAGCAAAGGTATTGTTCACAAAATGTCTCTACGTTGATGAGCAAAGGTATTGTTCACCAAAATGTCTCTACGCCGATGGGCAAAGGTAGTGTTCACCAAAATGTCTCTACACGATGAGCAAAGGTATTGTTCACTAAAATGTCTCTACGTTGATGAGCAAAGGTATTGTTCACCAAAATGTCACTACGCCAACGAGCAAAGCTATTGTTCATCAAAATGTCTCTACACTGATGAGCAAAGGTATTGTTCATCAAAATGTCTCTACGCCAATAAGCAAAGGTATTGTTCATCAAAATGTCTCTACGCCAATGAGCAAAGATATTGTTCACCAAAATGTCTCTACACCAATGAGCAAAGGTATTGTTCACCAAAATGTCTCTACGCCAATGAGCAAGGTATTGTTCATCAAAATGTCTCTACGATGAGCAAGGTATTGTTCACCAAAATGTCTCTAAGTTAATGAGCAAAGGTATTGTTCACCAAAATCTCTCTTTGCCGATAACCAAAGGTATTGTTCACCAAAATGTCTCTAAGTTAATGAGCAAAGGTATTGTTCACCAAAATGTCTCTACGCCAATGAGCAAAGCTATTGTTAATCAAAATGTCTCTACACCGACGAGCAAAGGTATTGTTCACCAAAATGTCTCTACGCTGATGAGTAAAGGTATTGTTCACCAAAATGTCTCTACGCCAGTGAGCAAAGGTATTGTTCATCAAAATGTCTCTACGCCGATGACCAAAGGTATTGTTCACCAAAATGTCTCTAAGTTAATGAGCAAAGGTATTATTCACCAAAATGTCTCTACGTCGATGAGCAAAGGTATTGTTCACCAAAATGTCTTTACGCCAATGAGCAAAGGTATTGTTCACCAAAATGTCTCTACGTCGATGAGCAAAGGCATTGTTTACCAAAATGTCTCTACACCGATGAGCAAAGGTATTGTTTACCAAAATGTCTCTACGTCGATGAGAATAAAAACATAATTAAAGCAGCATCGTTTGAGGCTTTTGAATTATTCGTCATTGAGTCCTCATTATTTCGACGTATATCTGAAAATGAATGAATTGGAGAAAAATTGCGAAGCAAATGAAGTTTTTCTCCGCCAAGGAGATGGTTTGATGCGCGTTGAAAATTTGACGAATTGCAAAAATGCCGTTTGTATGATACACTGCGAAACGAGATGTCTTCAAACAGGCAAAAAGATTTTGAGAAAAGGATCTGGATTTTATGTCAAAGCTAAAATATTCAACACTGCATACAAATGTGTTATCACAAATCACCATGTTGTGAGCTGTGAAGAAAATGCTAAAGGCTCCATCGCAATTTTTCACTGTGAAAGAGAGAACCAAGGTTGTCTAGTTCAATTGCGACCAGGCAAATTTTTTCGTACGAGCCAGTATCTTGATTACTCAGTTATTGGCATTGAAGAAAATGAACTTGCTTCACTTTCACCTTTGATTTCTCCTATTGAATACATCGAGAAACTTCCAGCAAAGATTGATGATCAAGTATTTATATTTTAACATCCTTTGGGAATGCTAAAACAATTTAGCCACGAAAAAATTATCCATATCGAACCGCCCTTTGTATATTATGTCACGGATACCAATTGTGGATCATCTGGGTCACCTGTGCTCTGGAAACTGCAGCTCTTAGCTATTCATCTTTCAGGCGATCAACAAAATGGTTATAACAAAGGGACGTTATTTGATGCAATTATCAATGATTTATGTAATGCATGGAACTTTGGTAATTATTTACTATATTTCTCACTTGGGCTGTCAAAGATGGCAGCCGTGTGGTTGCCGGCTTAGAATTGCGCCAACGTATCCTCTGCGTGTCGTAAAGACGACTAAAAGGGTTGGTGTAAGGAAGGGCATCCTACCGTAAAACTTTGCTCCAACAAAATTCATGAGCTTTGGAAAGAAGACATGGCCCCAGTTCCCGGCAGCCCTTCAGTGGGCAGGGGTGCGAAGAATCCGGATCGAATGTTGGTGGAAGTGTCACCCTTCGGTTAGGCACAGTGAACGTTGGGACAATAAAGGGAAGGAGTGCAGAAGTGGCGGACATGTTGAAGAAAGTTGATGTGTGTGGGTTTCAGGAGGTAAGGTTTAAAGGTGAAGGTACGAGAGTCATAAAGGGTGAAGATAATGGAGCGAGATTTAAGTGGTGTTGGAAGGGGAACGGAAGTGGCACGAATGGTGTTGGCTTTGCGATAAGAGAGGATTGGGCGAAGTCGGTTGTAGCAGTGAAGAGAGTTTCGGACAGAGTCCTGAGAGTTGATGTACTTATTGAGGCCGAAGTTGTGAGTTTCGTTGTGGTGTATGCTCCGCAGGTTGGACGAAGTGCGGAGGAGAAGGAAAAGTTCTATGACAGCGTGTATGCAGTGAGAGCAGACATTAGAGGGCGATGTGTGATGCTTGGTGATTGGAACGGTCATGTGGGAAGCGTAAGAAAAGGATACTGTGCGCATGGAGGTTTTGGAGTTGGTGATATGAATGCTGAAGGCGAGGCTATATTGGGTTAGCAGCGAGTTGTGGGATGGTGGTAGTGAATACGTGTTTATAAAGGGAGAAAGCAAGCTTGTGACGTATGAATCTGGTGACAGTAGGACGGGTGGATTATATACTGGTGAATGAAGAAGAAGGAAAAGTGAAATGAATGAGGAGAAGTGACAAGCTGCTGGTCGTGGACTGGAGAATCAGGAAGGTGAAGAGGAGAAAGGTTGAGGGTAAAGGCAGGCAAGCTATGGAAGTTACGATCGAATGAAGGAAGCAGTGTTTCCGTGAAATTACGACATTGAATGTTGAGGTGAGACGGTGGAGGAGCGATGGACGTGTTCGGAGAAGGGTGTTTTAAAGGCAGCGGAGAAGGTATGTTGTAGAAGTAAAGGCGGTGTAGTAGAAGAACAGGCATGGTGGTGGGATCAACGAGTCAGCGAAGTGATTGGCGCGAAGAAGTTGGCATTTAAAAGGTGGAGAAAGTCGCGGACTGAAGCAGATAGGATCGATTACATCCGGTTCAAGAGGAAGGTGTTAGATCTGGTGTTTTTGAGGTAAAAGTTGGTGTTCATCAAGGTTCAGTCTTGTCGCCGTTACTGTTTGCTTGTGTGATGGATGTACTGACAGAGGAAGTGAGGAGAAAGAAGGATGCTGGTGTTTGTTGCATGCAGATGATATTGTCTTGGTGGCGGAGTCGAAGCAGAAAGTCATGGAATGATACCAAGAATGGAAAACGGCAATAGAAGTCAAGGGACTGAAAGTGAATGAGGCAAAGACGAAGGGCATGAGATGCTCGAGGCAGGTGGAGGTGAAGGACAGTGATAAATGGCTATGTGGTGTGTGTGGGAAAAGAGTTGGAGTGAATGACGTGTGGGAAATGCAGTAAGGGGGTTCATGGAAGATGTTCAGGTGTCCGTGGTGCATTGACAAGAGTAACTGATTTTGAGTGCGGGACGTGTCGAAGTGGTGGGCGAGTCGCGATTGAACGGTTTGAGCTGGGTGACGTGAGTTTGGAAGGTGTATCGGAGTTTAAATATCTGGGCGATGTGTTAAATGATGGTGGAGGGTGCGAGCAAGCGGTGAGGAACAGAGTTCAAGCAGCGTGGTGGAGTTTTAGAGAGTTGTCGGGAATGTTGTGCGGAAAGTCGACTTCGTTGAAGCAGAAGGGAGAATTGTACAAGGCATGTGTTAGAAGTGTTTTGGGATATGGAGCAGAGTGTTGGGCGCCGAAAGCAGAGGACCTGAGAATGGAAACATGGACCTGAGAATGAAAGGAGAATGCTTAAGATGATGTGTGGTGTAACGTTGATGGATAGGATTCGAAGTGAAGAGATTAGAGAAAGAGTTGGTGTTGAGTGTATCGAGAATTGGGTAAGGCGCCAGCGTTTGAGGTGGTTTGGGCATCAACCCCCCTGGCGGGGATTAATACTGGCCGGTAGACAAATGTTGTTTGTTTGTTTGTTTGTTTTCACATGTAACTGATGGAATGAAATAAACTCTGTAAATATTTAAACTTCTCTTCAGTAGATAATTTATTTCTTAGTAAATTTTTGTTATTGTTTTTGAACAAAAGCACGCCCCTTGTGGAAATCAACCCCAGTTGACAAGGCCAGCGTGTCAAAATAAAGATTTTCATTCATTCATTCATTGCGTAACCAAACCAACATTTATAATTTTATATTGAGTTTCATGATTACTGATGGATCAGTACTATTGATTGCATTGTGTATCTGCGCAGTATAAAGCAATTTACTATAATGCCATCATACAAAACTGAAGACCTCGTCAAAAAGGCATACTTTTCAGAATACTGAGAATATAGGCTGAGTAGATACATTGATGATTGTCATTTTGAGAGTGCAGTAACTGGCTTTGACAAAAAATGATACGATGAACCTGACGGTTGAAATAAACAATTAAGACAGTATACCTCAGCAGCAGCACTCTTCTCCCTCAATGCTTTTAACTTTTCTCGCCGTTTCAATGCTTCTTGCTCTAATGAAGTTTCTTCGGCCATATTTATTTATAGAGTTTTATATTGACCACGCGCACATAGAAGTAGCCTGGGCCGAGAGTCAACAATACAGAGTGATAAATAGATGTCAGCAAATGGCAGAAAACGATAACACAAAAATCTAGCTTGTACTATTAATTCGTACGAATAACTATGGCATCTACAGATACTCTAATACTGGTATGTTTCATCTTATAGATAATTCTAACATTAGTTGCAGAAATATAAATTATATTTTGACTCAAGCAAGTGCAATATTTTACTTGGCAACAGGGCAGTATCAACTATTATTGTCGAGCAAGATTTTACAGGCACCTACAAAACGTGTCTTTGCAAGGTTTGCAGAAGCACGGAGGTGATCCGGTTTTGACATTTTGGAAAGCATTTGGAATACTGATGTAAGGTTTGTTGTTAAAAATGTAGAGTATTGTCGTTCTCATTCTGCAGTTGTTGCGTTGTAGTCCATGGCAACAGGTTTTCTCTAGATTTTCTTGTAATTGATTGTCCCATTTTACTAGTACTTTGTCATTTGATGCATTTGACTGTTTTAAAACTGTCTGTGTATACTGCACCCTTCAAATAAGAAAATTTTCACTTTATTTTGTCTCCTGTCATTTCACATATGAAGCTTTACATTCTGCCAGCAGAATTTATGTCAATTATAGTGGTTGGTCTCTTATCCATCACTAAACTAGCTTTGCTTGCTTAAAAGCTCTATTTCTTTGTATTTAAAATGATCCAATGATATTTATTAAAATATACTGTATTGTCAATACTTCATAATGGTTGTTACATTGACTTGCAGATCGTCTGTCAGAAGCCTTTAGAGAATTTGAATCCATCCAAGAAAGTGAAGAAGTTGTCCTGTATTGTTTGATAGCATTAATCTATGCACATAAAAAAGGCACAATTAATTGACAAGGAAAGTGTACATGAATTGGAAACAAGATTGAAAAAGATTCGAACAAGTGTTGGTGAGAATGTGCTATACTTTGCTGCAATGTTTTTGTGGCACACAGGGCATCATGAAAAAGCAAGAAAATATGTTGACAGAATGTTGAAAATGTCCAATGGTTCGAAAGAGGTTTTCTTAACATGCCTTTCACATCATAACCACAATTTAACCTGTCTTCTTTCATATGTACATACAGGGAACTATTTTACGTGGATGGATTGATCTTACAAGTACATTAAGAAATCCATAAAATATTTTGATGAGGCTTTACAGGGGTATGTTAATGTTTTCTCATAAAGACTTTACAATTTTCAATATTTCAATATAATATTTTCCAACTTCAGAGAATATTGATGCACTGTTTGGTAAGGTATGTAACATACACAAAGTACATAGAAAACATCCATGCCATTGTGTCATGTCATGTTTTTCATTTCTCTTTCAAGGCTACATATCTTGTAAAGAAAAGTAATTTCACTTTGGCGCTGGAATTTTTTAATAAAGTAAGTTGTTTATTGTGAAATATCGATGGAAGTGGAGTCAATAATTCAAACAAGACCTGGTATGATTGTGCAAGGACAAACAATTGCAAGTGAAGGCATCCACCAGCCCTGTTGCATTTGGGGAAACTTAAGAATATTCTTCTCAAAGAGTAAGTTTTGCATTGAGAGAAGAGCATTTTTGTGTAATTTTCATTTGTTTTTTTATCATATCAAAATGTACAACAAGTAAATCTTCACGAATGCTTTCATACGAACTACCATGTATTCAGATCTTTTTGTTAACATTATGATACTGAAGCGGAATGCAATAGTTAATTTATACCTGTAAAATTGGCCTGTGTTTTTTACATAGGCGTCGTCAAACGTGTCGCAGCGATTTAGAAGTAAGCACAAAGTTGAATACTGCGTGATATAAAGCGCTCTCAAAGACCAGCGGAGAGTTTTTCAAAATAACTTGCACTCCTGACTTGATTTTGTATCTACGAAAAAGTTATTTCTGTTACCTACTGTCTATGTTTTCCCTCACTTTCTTTCCCTACGCTCCTGCATATTATTGTCTACGTATATATTAGCGTATATTTCTATTGAGAAAGCAGTTATCTTATATTTATCTCCATTAACCATGCATTTTCTTTTAAGAAAAGTGCTAGGTCTTTTTTCCTCATCAACGTTTTCGTTCATGGTGGCTAGATTAGTCTACTGTATGGTAATACTAAAGATGAATATGTTCAGTTGCGTAGCCAACCTACAGATTAACTTTTTATGTGTAAATTTCAGAAGTTTACCATTATTCAATTCTTTGAAATTTGTTGTTCTCACGGTCCCGCGCATAATTGCATAGTGGCAATATTTTATGTTATATATCTCTTTCGTCCGACAGATATTACTGACTATCTAGTTGGATTATTCCATCCATTTGAGATATTCGTTTGTATGTTTTAGTGTAGATATCGTTCATGCCTTTCGGAAACAGGAGGAAATTGTCAATGCTGCATCTGCATAAGTGATCGAGTTCTGAAGGAGCAACGAAAGACTCTTTTGAAATTTGTTCGGACTTGGAATAATATCGTGTTAAATTCATGGCGTGGAAGGCCGACGGAAGTTATTGAGGTACGTTCATATCATGTTAGGACATTTTGAACATGATTGTGACAAGATTTCTTTGCATGGTATAAGGTGTATAACAATACGTATATTAAAGGGGTTATATCACGAATTTTAGCCCCCCTTTTTTATTAGCTAAATTGAAAGACCTTATTTCAGTGATTTTAAATCTGCAATTATAATTGAAATTGGATTGGTGAAAGTGATTTTATGGACGTTCAAAGTCACGATTTTCAGCATTTTTTTTGCGAACTTTTTGTTCGGTATGCTAATGAGTTGTGACGTAGATAGTTGAACACATATGTCGCAGAATTCACTGAGTTCGTCCAGAAAATTGATCTGCACTCTGATTCAGTTTGTTTTATGGAGTTTATTAGCAATGAACAATCTACACATCTCTCCGACTATTACAAATTTGAGTCTATTTATATGTTTACATTTCGTGACTTACGTGCACTACTACAACATGAATTAATTAAGAGAGAAAATACTTAGGAAGTGTTAAGTATATACACCCTAATTTTTAATTATAATTTTGGCACACATAAAACTCCGCATGCGAACTTATAAAATCTGGCATGCAATAAAAAATATAAATGAAATATCCTAAATTATACAACACTCTCCCCTTGACTCACTCAGGAGTCAAGCATCGCTAACCTTCCACCTGGCGTCCAAAGCCGCCTTTCTCTTAGTCTTCTCCTTACATCCGCTAACTATATCCTCCTTCCTTCAACCTTACTCTCGTCTTTAACCTCAACTGGATATAAATGCTGAATCGCTCTATTCAACACCTGGCGACGACCGTTTGTCATCACGCAAACCCTTGCACCACGAACGACCTTATCCTTGCCACAAATCAATTCCTGAATCACACCTGTCTTCCACTCCCCCCTTTTCTTACCCTGCTCAAACACAATGACCACATCCCTGGCTTAATTATCGCCGACTGTTTGTCTGCCATCCCAACCTTATGAAATTCCCGAAGATTCGTGAGATACTCCCGTTTCCACCTGCTCCAAAAATGCTCCAGTATGGCACTTAAATGTTTGAATCGTGTCCTAGTGTTTGTTCTAGTCGAATCTTGTCCTAAATCATTAATTTTTGAGTCCTTGCTATCGGGTAATGTCACGATGCGCCTACCATAGACTAAATGTGCAGGAGTAAGTACTTCACTATTCACTTCCTCGTACTCATACGTTAAGGGTCTAGAATTCAAATTAGCTTCAACTTCAGCTAGAACAGTTGTCAGTTCGTCGAAAGTAAGTTTTGCATTGCCCAAAACTTTCCTTAAACAGACTTTCACTAGCCCTATCATCCTTTCGAAAAACCCTCCCACCATGGGGCCCTCTCTAGGTTAAATCGCCACTCAATGTTCTTAGCGCTAAGGCAATTATCTACTTCTTCGCATTGAAATAAGTCGCGCAACGTCTTTTTTGCGGCTTTAAATGTTTTGGCGTTGTCAGAAACAATAAGTTTCGGTGTTCCAAACCTTGCAAAAAATCTTCTTAAACAGCGCAGAAATGTCGCTGCACTCAAATCGTGCACTAACTCTAAGTGAACCGCGCGTGTCACACAGCAGGTGAACAGCGCAATGTACACCTTGCTCATACTTGCCTTTGTTTTTACGTACAAAGGTCCTGCAAAATCTACGCCTGAATTTTCAAATGGTGCGGCTCTCTCTGCTTTATTTGTGTACACGGCTTACTGTTCCATCGTTTACAAGCTACACATCCACCGCTCACTCTCTTAACTTCCTGTCTGCCCTTGGGTACCCAATACTTCGACCTCAGTTGCGCCAACGTGCTCCGAACTCCCCCATGCATAACAGATTCATGACACTGCCTAATCACTAGCTCTGTGAAATACTGTCTCCTAGGCAAAACAATCGGCTCTCTAGCTTCTGCCTCCAAATCTGATTCACCCAATCTTCCCGTACAATGCAGTATCCCGTTCATTTCTATCAGTCCGTACTGTCTTTCTAACTGCTTAAACTCGGGTTGCTCTCGTAACTCTAGCTGGGCTGACTTTATCCACTCGCATTCTCCATCATTCATTTCGCTCGCTTTTATTGGTCCGGTAAAAAATTTCTAATCCTAGTCTTTTTTGTTTCAAATTATAGACGAATCTCTTCACCCACGCAGTAACTCTTAACAGCCGTGTAAGTGTGCTGTATTTACTTATGCTAATGACATTGCCAATTCCAAACAATGACCTTGCACTTGTGATTAGGTTAACAACAAATGACCTTTTCTCTTCAACCTTGCTGTCTACTGTGGGAACTATCTCCTTCACCCTAGGATAATGCCTTGGACTACCCCGCAACCAAGACGGTCCTGACCACCAAACCTCCGCGTTCTTTAACTCAGTCATCAAGACCCCTCGCGACCCTAAATCTGCAGGGTTTTCCTTACCTGGACAATGACTCCACTCTGTTTTTGAACTAAGCCTTAATATTTCGTCAACTCTATGCTGAACAAATTGCTTCCAATTGCCTGAGTTGACTATCCAATACAAAACAGTCATACTATCAGTGCAATACTTAACGCCCTCAAAATTATACTCTGACTCTAACGCTTTCCTGACTGCAGACATTAAATGAGCCAATATTCTAGCTGCCATTAATTCTAACCGCGGAATACTAAGTTCTTTCATCGGGGCTACTCTTGTTTTGCTGGCAATCAACTTAACACGAACATCGTTACCGTTCAAAACTACTAGATACACAACCGCACAATAAGCTTTTGACGCATCCCCAAATCCATGCAAAATATCTCTGCTTTGATTCTGAGCCAGATGTGTCAGTCACGCCGCTCGAGTACCTGCCTATTGAAACACTCTTTACCTCCTTTAGATCTCTCAACCACTTCTCCCACTTCTCTTTCACACTTTTAGGCAATGTATCGTCCCAATCCACGCCACTGTAACAAATATCTTGAAAGAGAATTTTAGCTTTAACAATCGTAGGACTCAAGAGCCCTAATGGATCGAAGATACAAGCTAACAGACTCAACACATTTCTCTTCGTCGGTTCCGTGTTTTCCGCTTTCGCACTCAAATTTTCGAAATCGAATATTATTACGTCCCCGACGCTATCCCATTCAACCCTAATACTTTACCAAATTGACCCTGTGCTTGAGCAAGCGTGGTTTTCGCATACGTTTGCTCATCAACGCAACTACTTTCCACGTCACGCACATCTTCTTCAATTTGCGATCTTAACGCACTATCATTAGTCCGCCATTTGCGTAACTTAAATCCGCCTTCATTCATGCGTTCGTTGGCCTTACGATATAGCTGATACGCTCGCTCTGTACTAGATTCACCGCTGGCAAGATCGTCCACGTAAAAGCTTTTAGCAGTTTTTCTGAAAATTCCCTATCGCACTGTAAATATTTGCTAATATGATGCCTTAACGTCGAATTAAGCAAAATGGTGACGAATTCACCCCAAATACGACTCTACAAAACGGTAAACTACAAGATTCAAATTGTTGCGCAGTACATCATCTACCCACAAAAACCTTAGGCTATCTCGATCCCTTTCGTGCACTTCAATGTTTAGGAAGGCCTTCTCTATGTCCGCTATTAGCGCTATTCTTTGCTCACGGAACCTAAGCAGAATATCAAACAAAAGTGGATTAAGTGAAGGTCCGATATGCAAACAATCATTCAAAGAGACACTTGACTTGAGTACTTTAGCGCTTGCGTCATAAACCACTCTAACCTTTGTCGTCTTGGCATCCTTTCGCACGACAGCTTGATGAGGCATGTAATGTATTTTGGCATGAGAATTAATCACACTATCTTTTCCTACCCTCTCTATGATGCCTAACTCTTCTTGGGCCTTAATGATAGTGTCATATTCCTTCAGTAATTCTGGGTTCTTACCTAGTCGTCTGATTTGTCCCTTCATTCTCTTAAGACTTAAGTCATAGTTAGTAGGTAAAGGATCGTGACCCTCCCTCCAGGGCAACCCCACTGAATAACGCGTACCGTCAAAACTAAGATCGTTTATGACCGATTCATGCACATCACTTACTTTGTCCTTAATTCCTAGGCTTTCTAAATCCCAAAAGTTTTCTACGTTGATACAAGTTTTATTAGCGGAGCAAAAAATTTACCTGAGCAGTGGCGGGTTGATTCTTATCCGTGCTTCCAACCGGCCCTGAAACTACCCATCCAAGCACCGTCTCGATAGCCACAGGCTCCCCCTGCTTCCCTCGCATAATACGACCTTTCTGCAACGACCACAAGTAATCCGCACCCACGAGTACGTTTACCTCCAATTCCTCATTTACCTTACAAACATCAGACAACCACAACCCCCTTCAAATGTTCAAAGTTATTTCGAACCACCTCCAAATGTTGATTACTAATTACTGATATTTCTGGTACAACATATGCCTCGATAGATACGACTTCACCACCCGACAACGAACTCAAATCCAATCGCACAACCCTTCTCAACTCGTTCTCTAAAGCCCTTTTCCCAAACGTTCCTATTCTCAGATTTTCTTCACGAACGACTTTACATCCCAACGCTTTAGCCGTCCTTTCAGTAACAAATGATCTCTGACTCCCAGAATCCAACAAAACCCTTACTCGTCCCGACTTACTACCAACCAGTTTTGCTTGTGCAGTTTGCAAAGCAACATTGCATCCTGCCTTTTCACAACTATTCTTAGGACTTACAAATAGAGTATTACTACTATTGGCATCTACATTCCCAACCTCCCCTTGTCCAACAGCTCCCTGGGGCTTACTTTCCTTTCCCGAATCACACAGAGCCTTGTGGTGATTCTTCTTACATATACTACATTTAATATTGTTGTCACAGTCACGAGCCTTGTGGCCCTTTTCCAAACAAATATAACAACGACCGTATTTCTTAATAATATTCTTACGTTCCTCAATTGACTTGATCTTCTCACATTCTTCATGCCGATGACATTCCAGGCAGAATGCGCAACGAACCGGAGGGCGCTTGCTGTCAGGAGGGCGCTTGCTGTTTTCGTATCGTTCCGCCTGGCTCCATTTGACGACTTCTCAGGATCACCATGCCGTTCTCGTTGCTCTCTCTGAACTCGATGCTCTTCTCGCAGCTCAACTTCGCACTTTAACGCTCTTAACATATCGTCCATATCCCACTGATGGAAGTTTTCGCTTCTCGTGATCAACAATCGAATCGATTCCGGTATCAAGTTCAAAACGTAAGGTACCACAATTGATGAATACGTAGCGCTGTCCACTCCCAATGCATCCAAACCTCGATGATGTGCTTCGACACTATCACACAAGTGACGAAGAGACGTAATATCTCTCGGATCTTTCACTCTATCTAAGTTCAAAGTTTTGCATGTGCGCTCGTTGGACCGATTCTGGCTTCCCATAGCGTTCCTTCAACGCGTCTATTGCAGCGTTGTAGTTCGCCGAAGTCAAAGAATATCCCGCGATACATGACTTCGCTGGTTCGCCTAAGAGTCCCCGAAGATAATTGAATTTGTCAACGTCGGACAAACTTCCATTTCCGTGAATGGCGCTTTCGAAGGAATCCCAAAACTCCTGCCATTCGCAAACATTTCCATTGAACCGCTTAACGTGCAGCTTTGGCAATTTTGCGCAAACTGTTCTATTGGTCACCGACGCTCCTCCGTCAGACCTTAACGAACTGTTCATTCTATTTTCCGAAGCGCAATTGCCGTCAATCTTTTGGCGAAGCTTCCTCGCCATCGACTTTGCTTCAGAACTTATTCTTCCAGCTTCCTCGACTTCGCTGACAATGTCAAGTTCTGACGCTTCTTCGTCCCCAGCAATCAAGTTAAGGATGTCTTCATCCAGTTTTTGGAGCATAGCGACTGTCTCCAAGATTTTGTCGCGTTGCTGTTCCGCGTCATTCTTTCTTCGTTCATCGAATGCGTCGACTAAGCCTGCTGCCGACGCCACAACTTTCGTCAGGTAACCGCGATGACCTGCTCGTACTCTTTTCTTTCTTGCTAACTCCTCCATACTATCCGGCTCGAAGGACCACTTGTCGCAGAATTCACTGAGTTCGTCCAGAAAATTGATCTGCACTCTGATTCGGTTTGTTTTATGGAGTTTATTAGCAATGAACAATCTACACAATCTCTCCGACTCTTACAAATTTGAGTCTATTTATATGTTTACATTTCGTGACTTACGTGCACTATTACAACATGAATTAATTAAGAGAGAAAATACTTAGGAAGTGTTAAGTATATACACCCTAATTTTTAATTATAATTTTGGCACACATAAAACTCTGCATGGGAACTTATAAAATCTGGCATGCAATAAAAAATATAAATGAAATATCCTAAATTATACAACAACATATATCAACATGGCGTATTCTACTAGTAATCTTAATAAGAAACGCGGAGGAAAACGCTGTGTTGCTGGCGGACCTAATCAAATTAGTTGCGCCAATGATTCAAAAACAGAAGGAATGTCGATGCATCTGTTTCCTAATAAAGAAACAGAGCCGCAAAGACATAGAAAATGGTAAATTTTGTGCGTAAACATAGACCGGTTTTGAGGCCTCCTCTACCTCGTGTCTGTGTTCTGCGCATTTGAAGATTCTTGTTTGACCTTAATTTGAGCGTGCAAGTCAAGCTCAAAAGAAGGTTGAAGAAAGATGCTATCCCAACCATTGACGTGGCTGGGATTCCTGAACCATTACAGGACGAAATAACCGATCGAAAGTGCAGACAAGTAAGTTTACGCTTGTTTATGTTAATTTTTCTTTTGTCATATGTAAATTCGATATATGTTTTGTAGATTATTCGACATACTCTCCATAAGCCATCGCTGAAGGAAACATGTTCTCTCGATGAGGAAGTACCATCTACTAGTGATGGAGCTGAGCATGTTGAAGTATGCACTGGGGAAGCAAACGATTCGCCATTTGAAGAAGAACTACATGCAGTTGGTGAAGATATTTGTGAATCCCAGTCTCCATGTAAATCGTGCCATCGTCTTAAGAAAAAACTTACATCTTTACAAAAGACTTTAAGCTGGTATAAAAGACAAAAGCATCTTTGAAGAAAAAGGCCCAGAAGTTGCAAAATGAATATCGACGCGAAATCAGGGAAAATCGTAATACATCCGTGGTTACCAGCATTGATATAGACGATGAAATGCAGGGAGTGCTGAAGAGCTTTTCGAAGAAGAATCATACATGGACTACCTCTTTCGAAGAGTCTAGTCAGAGTGAAGATTTAGATGAAGATACCACAAGTAATACAGTCAGGTATTTTATCTTATAAATAATTAGATCTCTGTTGTATTTCATAATAATGAATTTTCTTAATCGTGTTACAGAATTGATGAAGGAGCAAGCTCGCATGAACAACCTATGTTCATGGTATTTTACATCTCATTGGTTGAGTTGTTTGAAAATTTTGCTTTAACTGCAAGGCTGAAAATCAAAAGTACACATTAAAAATATCGGTTCGATGGCCATTGTAGAGCAAAATTGTGGTAAATGTGTTGAAAAGAACTTTATGTGGAGAAGCCAACCTATGGTTTTGGGAAGATATCCAGCTGGAAATGTTATGACTAGTTTTGGTATATTGATGTCTGGTGTCAGTATAAGTCAAGCCATGCTGATGTTCAAGCACATGAATCTCTCAGCAAATAGTGTGTCCACTTATCATGTGCATCAACGCACCTTCTTGTTTCCAGCTATTCTGAAGCATTGGGAAAGCTATCAGTTAAAGTTAATTGAAGATGTGAAAAAAAGTGATGCGGATTTCCAGACATGGTCAGGAGATGGAAGCTTTGATTCTATGGGGCACAGTGCGAAATATGGAGTCTACACAATTTGGAGCAACACAACATCAAAGCTGGTTCATTTTGAATTGCTTCAGGTATTATCGAATGATGAAAATCATTGTTTGTAGTGTTTTTACTTTCAATGATGGAAGCATTTTGATTTTTAAACAGGCCAATGAAGTTGGTAGCAGTAATGCCATGGAACTGGAGGGAGCAAAAAGATCTTTTCAGTTTCTTGAGAAATCTGGGCTTACCATGGATGTTTTCATCAGTGACAGGCACAAAGGGATTGCAAAGTGGATCCGAAACGAAAAGAAACAAAGCACTTTAATGATATCTGGCATGTAAATAAAAGTATTGCTAAACAACTTAAGATGGCAGGCAAAGAGAAAGGGTGTGAAATAATCAATGAGTGGTTGGGTGGTATTCGCCGACATTTGTATTGGAGTGCTCTAACTACTATACTTGGCTTTGAAGAGCTTATCATTGCTAAATGGAAATCTACTGTGAGACACATGGCTAACAAGCATGATAACCACCCTGATGCATTATTCCCATCGTGTGCTCATGGTCAGATCCCAGAGCGGAAATGGATACCAATAGGTAACTTAAAATACTCAGCTAATGTGGAAATAGAATAGTACAAGGTTGTATGTCATACTATAGTCACAACTCTATACATGAAACACAATTTCACAACCTTTTAGCGGCGATAAGCACGTCCATTCCTATCTCTCAATAGTGGCCCGACGTTTTCAAGGACAGCCTCATGAACTAAAGGCCCAAATTTGGCATGCTGTGTTATGCATGATATTTTCTCAATGCTGCCATCGAATGTCATTTTCTGCAAAGCTGGCCCTATTTCCTTACAGCATCTGTACTCTAATGTGCCTTCTAACAAATCGGTATGACAGCATTGACAATTACACCTGAAACGTGGGAGCATTGTGGTTTATAAAGTAACTTTATGTATATTACAAACAGGAGAAAACAACAACTTACCATTCACCGAGTGGAATTACGCCATCACTTCGTTGTTCTAAGGTCGCAGGAGAATTCCATCGGGATCATCTGAGTATGCACTTCATCACCATCTCCTGCGAGCAGTTCATCGTCATATGCGAAGTCGTTTAAATGCTCGACATAACCCACGGATTCCGAGCTCGAATCAGATACGCATTCAGACATCGAATTCGAATTATCTGAGCACTGATTTGAGGCCATTCTTTCCGGACAACTTGTTTTTTAATATTTTATTGAAAATACTGTCATTATTTGTTTTTAACACAAGAAAAACGACAACAAAATCACCTCCTATAATATAATATTATATTGACGGAAACAGACGTGTTCAACTATCTACGTCACAAGTATCAATATGGCGTCGTAAAAAATTCGCAAAAAGTACCCGACTTTGGAGGCAAAATTAAGGAACTTATATTTATCTGTTGAGTCCAGCGACATGTCATAGTTCTTCAAATAATCCAAATTTTCAATTAAGCTAATAAAAAAGGGGGGCTAAAATTCGTGATATAACCCCTTTAAATGAAGATATGATCTTCGCATGAGACAATTGCTTATATTGTCAAACAAAGTGCGAAGATCATATCTTCATTTAATATCAAACACCGCACTGCATAAACTATTCATATGACATTCATTTCACGAGAAAACATCAGCCCAACAAAATTGACCTGCTCACCACTGTGTGACTTCATAGCTCAGTTGGTCAGAGTACTGCACCGGCACCGCAGAGGTCATGGGTTGGATTCCCGTTGAGTCACCTGATTTTTCAAGTTTATGAGACAATTGCTTAAATTGTCCAACAAAGTGCGAAGATCATATCTTCATTTAATTTCAAACACCGCACTGCATAAAAACATTCAAATACGTATATTACTCACAAATATTAAATCAAAAGTCTTATTATACCTCGAGCATATACCTCAACCTCAGCACACCACCATTTTTATACCGCGTAAAATTTCAACTTTACTGGATGACGAAAAGTTAAATAGGAAACAGAAAGGAGAAAATGAAATTGTACATAATTATACAGTCCAGCTTCATACAGCCGTTGTCACTGTGACGCTTTTGTCACATCGGCTTTGTCATCTCAGTTTTTGGTCAAGAATATTCGTGTGAAAGCTCAATCCGATCTTTGTCATCTTGTCCAGTGGAGATTATTCGTCATCCACTACAACCTCCCTCCCCTCCCTCACCGCACTGTATTTCAAGGATGCAAGATGTAATATAAATGCCATGTATCATCAATTGAAAATAAGTCTCCAGGGAAGTGTTTTCATCAATATGCTATTAATAGGCTTTTAAAAATGATCTAAAATTCATTCAGCAGCCTGTTTGACTGAGAAACCTGAAGAAACATGGAAATTAACTGACATTTTTCTATGTACATTTTTTAGAAACAACTTAGACAGATTAATACCTGGATGGTAGAATTAGAACAGTTCACGAAGTCATTCTGCACAACTAATGGTTTATTAATGGTTGATTGCCGCAATATCAGAGATAGCATCGTTCCGAAACTTGGTTCCATTTTTCGACAACTTTCCAAGATGGTTGCAAAGGATCTTATGAGGATGTCGAAGAAGTTCATTGACAAGGCTCAACAGCTTGTTAAGGTAATACGTTTTTATCAACATGCCACTTTTTTACTGCAGAACTACTGTTTGCAGTGTAATATTTGATAAAGTTTCCGTTACTCAACATTCAGCAACATTATAGCAACTTAGCTATAACATCTTGTAAGCCCGTTATCGGAAATATCACAAAAACTTACAATATCACTTATGTAACCCAACGTAGGGCAACATTACATTATACAACATTACGTAACCCAACATACAGCAACATCATAACATCTTAAAATATTACATAACCCAACATTACGCAAAATAGCAGCTTGCAACATCACGTAACTACGCATTTGGCAAAAACTAAGTAATATTAGAACAAAGTAAATGGTTTGAACCCGGGAGTATCGTTAT